CATGGAAAAGTGCTGGAATAAAAAATTCCTTAATTGGAGACTTAACAAATGATGATTGCTGACAAAATAATTGTGGGACTCGGAAAACATTACAAAACTCATACAACATCTACAGGTATATTTGTAAAGCCCTACAATAAGTTACGTGTACTTCAGTTCTGATAGGAGATAAGTTCTGTGAGAGTTATGTGTTGTTCCAAATAACAAAGGGTAAAGGCTGGGACAGATCTGGGGGGTGTAGAATAATCATATAATAGGATTGTTTTTGCTATTTTGTATAAGCACCCATACTGTATGTATGGAAACCAAATATAACAGTCCATTCAAGGATGTTAAAAGTAGGAGTTATTTCGACTGGTGGTTTGGTTGAACCCCCTAAAATTATTTTAAAAAATGAGACATTATATTACACACTGAGGGGACCTCTGAACGCCAGAATCCCATTTCTGAGGACCTCAATTCTAGATGTGGCCAGGCTCCCCTGCAGTGGACCACCTTTGACAGTCTATCTTAATTCTCTACTCTAAAATCCTGTATCCACCCCAGAAAGACTTTATCTTAGGATCTTGAGTCCAATAAAATCTGATCCTAATTTTAATCAGTCTTAAACACTGTTCTGTACAACATTCAATTATATTTATCAATCAACAGACTGATATAAATTACTTCATGGAAAATGCAAGCATATTCATGAATATTCTGGTACAACTCTACAGCATTTTGTCAAATGGTGCACGCTTGGGAAACCCACTCAGCTGCTAGATTAGCTAAAAATGACTAAGACAACAGTGTTACTTTATGTTTTGAATGGAGTGTTTTGCAAAGCTTTTCAAATGCTAGGTCATTGGTGATGCTAACTGGAAAGGACTCATTTCTTTTAAGATGCTTAAAAAAATGGCCACCTTACCTTACAATGACAGTGCAGACACTTTTAAAAGATAAACTCGCTTTTGTTTTCGTTGCAGTGTTTTTGTTTTGCTGTTCTGAAACAAACGAGTCAATGGAGCTGTCGAAAGACACAAATCTTAAACTTGTTTCTGCCAAGACAATATTTCAAGAAACAAAACAATATCTTCTATTTTGTGTTTTTGTTCTCCATGCTTTCAACTAGTTCTCTACTAAGTTCCATAAGCAACAAATCCCCTCCAACTTATTACAGAAGTAAAAGAACTTTCAACTTTATAAAGAGCCCCAAGAGCAGAATTGTATGATTTTGCAAACAATTTGAAAAGTGAAATGCTGCTTGGCTGCCAGTGAACCTTGAATCAGAATATCCTTGTTATGGTTTACACTTAAAAAAAAAAATGATAAATGGCTCCTGACTGGACCTATTATTTTCTCCACTTGTGAAAAAGGTGATGTGCCATTTGATTGGCTTTTGCTTACTTGTTAATGAAAACACAAGCAGGGGAGCTTTTACACACAAAAAATTAAAGCCATGATCAACTGTTAATTCTTGATTATGGCTTTTGAACAACCTGACCCTAAAACGTTTAATCTATGTACCTTTAGACTTTTTGGTGGCTTTGTTTTCAGGAGGGCTTACTTATGGGTGGGCTTATTATCTGACTTTATAGCTTCAGAAATATGAAAAATTTGATGGACATGTAAGAAAAAATAAAACATGTTCTACCATCATTGCATTCACTTCAAAGTCAGTGAAATAAAGCAATGGCATAAAAGGGAGAAAAAAAGAAATTTTGTTCTTTTACTCAGGGTCCGAAATTAACTTTTTCAGGCAGGTGCCAACTGGCAACTGAATTTTTTTTTAGTCGCCAAATGGAAAAATGTGGTCATGTGTTTCTGCCATACGCCCATGGTGTGGCTGACAGTTGAAACCGCTGAAAACATGGCAGCACTAAATTTTGATTACAGTGCGTGGAATCTTACCTTCATTTTTGACCTAAGTTATTTTGTTTGGAAGTTAAAAACTTCGCAGAGACAAGGGGTAAGTTTCTTGCTTGAAACCAAACACAAAGTTTTTCCATTTAAAATGAAATCAATTCCTTGAACACCAGTTCAAGACGTTAAAAGTTAGTCACCTAGTGGGGACTAGCCTCAAAATTCTGGTTGTCAACACTCAATTTTCGGTTGCATTGGTGACCAGCTGGTCACAATTTCGGACCCTGTTACTGTTCCATGGGCTTATGTTCATGAGAGCTTAAAATTAATTGCACCTAAGGTTTGGGTAAGACTTGGAAGTTTATGGTATGTGATACAATGTAGTGCATGCAGATCTAGGAAATGTTTACTCTAACAGACATGAACCATATGTTTATATATTCAATCACATATAATGCTTCCTGTGAATTACTTGGCTAAGCTGGATGACTGCTCGCCATATAACAAAAAGTAGTGAATGTTCACTGGTCCATACCATACCTTACCTCTGTTGCATTAATTCTAGCTAATATTAACGATTTAACTGCCAATTTTTAATCGTTAAATCAGTTGTTTGGCTGCCATGATGTAAAATGAGCCTTAGTTTTGCTGAAAAAGCTATTTCTTTTTCCCAAAAAGATAAATTTCCCGAAGATTAAGTATAAAAATTTACAAAATTTTAATTTGGCGTGTGCACATAAACCCAATTTAAACTTTTTTTTTGTGATTGCCTGTTCTGAATTTTTTTCTTGCCCCTTTCCTTTCCTTTTTCTCAGCCCTTTTACTCTCACTACCTTTTGTGTATTCTTTCTGGCGTAAAAAGTTAGGTATTAATTATGAACAAAGCCTGGAAATGAGACCTTGATCAATTATAGATATAATGATCCATTTTAAGACCATTATTGCAAAATGTGGTCGATACATAATAATACATACGGATAAGATACATAAGGGAGATTCATAGTAAATGAAAGTTCATTGATCTATAGCTCATCCTGTATAGACCACTCGACAACCTTTGCTAACTCTTCTTTGTGTTCTCCTTCATATTTACCAGTAGAGTTCCTGATAAACTCAACCACTAAACATCCTGGTAAGCCATTACTTAAATCGAGCAGAGAATGGGTTTTCAGTATGTCATACAGTTTTAACGTCAGATGAGGTTGGGGATTAACAACGCTGGTTTGCAATGATTTCCGTATTTTTTCAACAGCATCAATCTCTTCCAATGTAAGAACCTCTTTGAATGGCTTCTGTGTTACAATACCAACCACCTTTAACTGACCGTTGTTGATCCAACTCATTACTGGACCACCTGAATTGCCAGAGTTGAGTGGGCAATTTAAAGACATCACTGACGAGCTTATTTTGGATACGTCACCAGTCACAAAAATAGCTGTATCTCCCGCATAGCCCATGGGATAGCCAAAAGAAAATATTGGCATGCCTGGTAACAATGACTGGTTGGACAAATGCAATGGACGAATTCCACTTCGCTCTAAATTAAGATCTGGACAATAAAGTAAAGCCAAATCATTACCCGCATCTTGGTATACGACCTTACAAGGTAATTCACCAATTAGTGCATTGGAAATACGGATTTGATGACCCTCCGCCTCATTATAGGTTTTGAGTACATGCGCACTGGTAACTATAAAATGGTTATGAAGAATAAACCCTGAACCTATGCCAATGTTGAAATAATTACTTGCAGTGGCACCCTCACTGCCCAACTCAGTCTGTCCACATTCAACAACAAGTCGCTTACTTTCCTGCGTTTCCTCTTGAGTATCTTTGCTTCTGTCACAAGACTGGTAAACCTTTACTGCTATATCTTTCGTTTCATGTCTCTTTGTAGGAAATATGTCTCTACTGTCTCCAAAGGTAGCCTCAGTCTGGGAATATTCACGTAGAATTTTATCTTTCCCACCAGCTATAAGCGCAAGGTCTGTCAACTCCTGCCAACATCGCGGAGATGCCATCACTTTGCAAAATCCGGTTCCCGGTACTAATACCATCTTAGGAAACGTGCCAGTCACATTGGCAATACATCCAGTTTGAAACTGTCTTTCTTCTGCATCGAGTACCACACTTGCGAATGCAACAGCTGTCGGTGAATGGACTATCTTACTTTCCAACGCATCGTCCATCAGGCCCTCGTAAACGGCCGATATCGAGGGCTGTGAAAGATTACTTAATATACAGACCTTTACACAAGCATTCAGAGCCTCTCTTCCATCATCGCCCAACAGATCAACGCTAGTCATGGTCTGATGTTAACTGTGTTTGTCTGATGATTTTTCAGTGGTGCTTAACATGTACAAGAAAACATTCACAACCCAGGGATGTCCGATCGCTGAACCAAATCCAAGGAATCCAAGGATGATGGGGGTGTTTCTACCTCACGGGCGTAGATTGAGGGTGACTTCCTCTCGGGTTCCTAAACGAAGAAACACTATGTCAACTAAATATGACTTAACATTTTAAGTCTTGTAACTATTTTATGACGAAAGAGAACGACCTAATTTCACACTCACTGGGAGTCGAACTCGGGCCACTGTGCCCTTCCTTACCACTGTACCACCGTGCTGCCAGCTGCCGGAAAGGTTAAAATTTAAACTATATGTAATGAACAGTAATATAAATTAATATAGAGTTACCCTAACATACAAATGAAAGCTAACCGCAAGCAAAATGGAGTGACACTAACCGCAAGCAAAATGGA